TTTTAAAGATGTTGCTGAAGTACAAAAGTTATGGGTGAAGGGTAAGTCCTTTCTTTCAATAGGTGAAAGTAAAGCAGATGGAATAGGAATCCTTTTCTTTTCTGAAAATGTTGCCGTTATCCAATTAAGAGAAATTATTCCAGGCAGGTTAATGTTTGTTGATGTGTTTTTATTTGGAAAAAAAATTAGAATAATAAATTTATATACAGCCCAAGATAGAGTTAGAAAAATGCAGCTTTTTAATAAAATTAAAACTTTGCTATGTGTAGGATTTTATGTAATTGTCTGTGGTGATTTTAATACAATTACAGATGAGAGAGACAGAATAGCAGAAAGGTCAAGTAAAATCGGTAGAGAAGGTAATGTTTTGAAACAAATAATGAACGAATACAATATGCAGGATACATTTAGAATGGTTTATCCTGATCGTATAGACTTTACAAGGTTTGATAGAACATGTAAAACTAGAATAGATAGAATTTATGTTAATAAAAAATTTACTGTAATTTCATATAAAACTAAAATGCTTATAGATTCTGATCATTTGACAGTTACATCTACAATAAATTTTTTAAATGATAAAAGTGTCAACTATTGGAAATTGAATACAAAAATCTTAAAATATCCCAATATTTTGTTGGAATTAAAAGATGAGCTTGCAAGAATTAGATCTCTAAATATTCTGACCAAAGATAAGTATGAAGTATGGGAAATTTTAAAAACACGTGTTAAAAATTATTTTAAATATAAAAGCAAATTAATTAATCAGGAAAAAAACGAGAGATATAACCATATAATGGAGCAATATATTAACTTGAAATTAAAACCATGCATAACTGCAGTTGAAGAAAATAGTTTACGTGAATTAAAGGATGAAATTGATGTTATGAATAATGAACATTTACAGAAATTGCAGATTAAACTTGGTGTTCATCTTGATGAAACTTTGAATCCATCTCAAATATCTCATCTGTTTTCAAAACAAAAGCAAAGATCTTGTGTTACTAGCATCAGAGATAAAAGTGGTATTATTATTACCGAATCAGGAAAAGTTAGACATACAATAAAAGAGCTTTGTGAGGAAATGTATCAAGAAATAGAAATAGATGTTAACATGTTAAAGTCCTTTTTGAACTTTAAATATAATTATTATTTTGATCATTTGGGAGATGAGGTTATAGAAAGTGAAGTAGTGTCTGCCATTAAACAGCTAAACACTGGGAAATCTCCTGGGAAAGATGGCTTGCCCTCGGAATTTTATCAAATGTGTATTTTCGACTTATCTAATTTACTTACACGGGTGTTTAATGAAGGTATTGGAAAAGGTTATATGTATGACACGTTTTATGATGGGGTATTATCATTATTGTATAAAAAGGGTGATGCCAGTGATATTAACAACTGGAGACACCTTACTTTGATGAATGTTGATTACAAGATCTTTGCCAAAGTAATAATGAATAGATTAAATGATATTTTGTATTTAATCATAGCTAAAGAGCAAACATGTGCTATTAAAGGGAGAGCTATGTGGGATAATTTGAACACTTTAAGAGAACTGGTATATGAGAGTGGTGAAAGTTTTTATATTGTTACTCTTGATCAGAAAAAAGCTTTTGATTATGTCTCTAGAACTTATTTATGGGAAGTGTTTAGAATGTATCATTTTCCTGATAATTTTATTAAAATGATCATGTGTTTATATGCCAAAAGCAATATACAGATTAATGTGAATGGCAATTTGACAGATTCCTTTGAAGTTATGAGGGGTGTAAAGCAAGGTTGCCCTCTTAGCGCAGCTCTTTATGTATTGGCAATAAGTCCTTTGATCACAAAAGTTAGGAACGATGAGCGTTTAAAAGGAGTAACTGTAGGTGGAAGGAAAGTTGTGATCTCTGCATATGCAGATGACATAACTGTTTTTATTAAATCTAAAAATGAATTAGATGCAATATTTGAACATTTTAAAATGTATGAACAAGTATCAGGAGCAAGACTAAATGTCTCCAAATCTGAATGTGTTTGGATAGGGAATCCTGAAAATAAGTTTGTGGTTAATATACCAGAAACTCAAAATTTAAAGGTTTTAGGAATTTGTATAAACAATAAAGATTGTGTCGAGAATAATTGGAATGGAAAAGTAGAAGTTATAAAAGAAGAAGTGAGTAAATGGAAAAATTGTGATTTAAGCTATAAAACTAGAATAAATATAGTTAAGACTTATATTTTATCAAAAATTTTATTTTTATCTTGCATATTTCCACCTACAGATAAATGGCTCAAAATTGTGAATAAATTATGTTGTAATTTTATATGGGATTCCACTAGAGAAGTAACAAAACGAAATTTGCTATATAAGAGGAAAGATTTGGGGGGATTAGGAGCCATAGATATCGCCATTAAAACCAAAATCTCTGTGTGTAAAATCATTGCAAATGGTATAAATAGACAAGCAGATTGGATTGGAAATATTACCAATTGGAAACAAAAAAAGGGTCGTGCTAGAACATCAGTACCCTATTATAAGTTGTTATATGGTGATTTTATAAACAAATACAAACATTTAGATATTGATTGGATTAATGATTCAAATAAAAAGATATATGGGTTAATAACTGATGAAGAGTACGGCTCAAAGGTAGAATTTAGAAATCTTGTAGGAGAAGAAAATGACAGGTGTATTAAAAATCTTCTGTGTAAAAAACTTTCTGACAAACAGGGAGATCTCTCATGGCTGATGGCCGTAAGAAGGCTGCCAGTGAGAGCTGTAGTAAGATGGAGCTGCTTTGTGAAAACCACTTTATGCCCCATGCCAAATTGCCAAGAAGAAGAGACTTTAGACCATTTTTTATTCAACTGTTATCGCTCTTAAGAAGTGTGGGAGATGGTTAAGGATATGGGTTTAGAAATAAGTATACATATGAAATCTATAATATATGGGATTTTTGATGAAAAAGTAGATAATAGGAAACATGAGTTCTTGTGGTTTATCATCACTATTGTAAAGTCTAAACTTTGGAAAACAAGATGTCGGATGACCATAGACCAACAATTCGTGTCCAGCAGGAACGTTTTTAAACAAATTAGAATTGAACTAAAGAGACTGCGGACGTTGAACACGCCATTCAAAGACGCTGACTTGTGGGACATTTTTGAATTGTAGGGTGTTAAGGTATGTGTATGTATATGCTGTCTTTCTTATGCTCTGTCTGTTTATATGTTGAATTGTTGCTAACTAAATAAAGTTTCTAAAAAAAAAAGGAAAGGGCGGTAAGGGTCTGGGTAAAGGAGGCGCTAAGCGTCACCGTAAAGTGCTCCGCGATAACATCCAGGGCATCACCAAACCGGCTATCCGCCGTCTGGCTCGCCGTGGCGGCGTCAAGCGTATCTCGGGTCTGATCTACGAGGAGACGCGCGGCGTGCTCAAGGTGTTCCTGGAGAACGTGATCAGGGACACCGTCACCTACACCGAGCACGCCAAGAGGAAGACCGTCACCGCCATGGATGTGGTTTACGCTCTGAAGAGTCAGGGACGAACCCTGCACGGCTTCGGAGGTTAAACGCTCGACTCGATCAACGATAAACACAATGGCTCTTTTAAGAGCCCCCCCACGTTTCCGCTTAAAGAGCTTTTTCCGTTATGTGAGTGAAAGCACGGTGTTTTTCTGAGGTGAGGAAAAATGTTACTTAGGGATTTACCGCATTCCGGTTCATTTTCCCGCGCAATTTCTTTGCCCGTAGTTACTCTATCGTGTAGGTATTGTAGCACTATGAACTAGTTATATAAATGTATAAGCCCATGTACACACCTACAGATTTGTATGTGTATAAAAATTAGCAGCAGAACTTAAACAGACTGCTCTTGGACGTTCAGTAATATATATACATATATATATATATATTTTTGGTGTTTGTAGTTCTTGGCAGAAAGCCAGTGTCACATGTCCGTATTACACACATCATTCAACTACTTCACTACACTACGGACACTCCTCACACAGCACGTAAATGAACTCGGGTTGACTGGGACAGTTACTCTTCTGGACTGAAACAGTTAGGTGGCTCTTAAAAGAGCCTTTGGGGTGTTTTGGGGAAACCTGGGAGCGCGCCGTTTAATTTATGCGCGCTCTCCGCGGATACGGCGGGCCAGCTGGATGTCCTTAGGCATGATGGTGACTCTCTTGGCGTGGATGGCGCACAGATTAGTGTCCTCGAACAGACCCACCAAGTACGCCTCGCTAGCCTCCTGCAGGGCCATGACGGCAGAGCTCTGGAAGCGGAGATCGGTCTTGAAGTCCTGAGCGATCTCCCGCACCAGGCGCTGGAAGGGCAGCTTGCGGATCAGCAGCTCTGTGGATTTCTGGTAGCGGCGGATCTCCCTCAGAGCCACGGTACCGGGCCTGTAACGGTGAGGCTTCTTGACGCCGCCGGTGGCCGGGGCGCTCTTACGAGCAGCTTTAGTAGCCAGCTGCTTTCTCGGGGCTTTGCCACCGGTGGACTTACGGGCGGTCTGCTTGGTTCTTGCCATGTTGTCAAACTCTATTCTTCTCTAACAAAGAAGTATAATAACTTCGCGCGCATATCTCGGCCGTTTTAAGGGTTCGAGCTGCGCGCAGCTCATTGGACGTCTTGAATGTGCCCGCCTTCCATTGGACGGCTGCCCACGCGTTGGCTAAACGCTATTGGGCGTCGTTTGCCACGCGCACATTTTCAAATAACAAGACACTCCCCAACGCCTTGGCGGGCTCCTGAACCACATTCTTGTTTTTTTTTTACACGTCCGGTGTAATGTAACTCAGATTAATAACGCCTGTTATTTCACTCGCTATTTATTCAGGTCTGTTTATTCGTCTTGTGTTCGAGTAGCTTTTAAGTTTTATTCAGTATTCAATCGTGGGACGTGGTGATGCTTTGATTCTTTTATTTTATCCCAATGTACACAACCTGTAACAATCGATAGACCGCCGCTTTTTTTGCATGAGAGGAGAGAAAGAAATAGAAAACCGCACTTTTGTTGTTAAGGTGGGTGGCTCTTAAAAGAGCCTTTGGTTATTTGCAATTTAACAGGAAAAAGAAAAACGTTTATTTGGTCTTAGCCGCCTTCTCGGTCTTTTTGGGCAGCAGTACAGCCTGAATGTTGGGCAGCACTCCACCCTGAGCGATGGTCACTCCTCCGAGCAGTTTGTTGAGCTCCTCATCGTTACGAACAGCCAGCTGCAGATGACGAGGAATGATACGGGTCTTCTTGTTGTCGCGAGCGGCGTTACCGGCCAACTCAAGGATCTCAGCGGTCAGATACTCCAGCACAGCAGCCAAGTAGACGGGAGCGCCGGCGCCGACGCGCTCGGCATAGTTACCTTTGCGCAACAGCCTGTGAACACGGCCCACCGGGAACTGCAGCCCGGCGCGGGAGGAGCGAGTCTTGGCTTTGGCCCTAGCTTTACCTCCGGTTTTTCCCCTTCCACTCATTTTGCAATTCCCTTCAGTTTGTTGAACTAAATCGAAATAAAAGTCAACGACCTCCGATCGCTCTTCATAAAGGCAAAGCTGCTACGTTTCTATTGGCTACAATGCCGTGACCTCCAACAACCAATAATATTAGTGTCATCAAGTTTAGGGTCCGCCCACCGCTCATCTCCAAGCCCTCTGCTTCTCCCCCTCCCCTTCGTGTGTGTGTGTGTGAGAAAGAAAAATAACAAATAACAGAAGATCCTTTGGGAGATAAAGATAAATTATGTGCTGCAGACACATATTAAATAGGTTTTTAATTATTGTAAATACTTAATAATTAAACTTTCTCTTGTTTTATCAATTTTGGTTTTGTACTTATTATTATTACTATTATTGTATATATAACTTTTGTTATATATTTTTTTCTGTGCTTTAACAATACAAATGCAAATTTGTCATGTCAGTAACGTAAACCTGAACTGAACTGAGAGAGAAAGAGATAAAGACAAAGAAGGAAACAAAGAAAGAAAGTCGCTGTTTTTCTACCCCATTCCCGCTCCGATTCTCATCCATGTAAATGCAAATAGCAAATGGATTATTATATCGAACCTGGCGCTTTCCAATAAAATCACTACTGACTAGTAGTGACTAGTTTTTAAGTGCAGCACGAAGGAGAATCTAACTCTGAGAGGAAAATGTGGGTGGCTCTTAAAAGAGCCGTTTTTTCAATAAGAGAAACAGGACATGAAGGTGAACGGCACGTTTACTTCTTTTTGGGTGCGGCCTTTTTCGCCGCCTTGGGCTTCGCTGCTTTGGGCTTGACGGCCTTTGTTTTCTTCGGGCTCTTGGCCGCCTTCTTCGGGGCCGCCGGCTTCTTGGCTTTCTTGGGAGACTTGGCGACTTTCTTGGCGGCCGCTGGCTTCTTCGCCGCTACCTTCTTGGCTTTTTTGGGCGATTTCTTGGCGGCCGCGGGCTTCTTCGCCGCTACCTTCTTGGGCTTCTTGGCCGCGGCGGGCTTTTTGGCGGCCGCCTTCTTGGGTTTGGCCGCTGCTTTCTTCGCTGGCTTCTTTTTGGCCTCGGCTTGTTTCTTGTTGAGCTTGAAGGAGCCCGACGCGCCGGTGCCTTTGGTCTGCACCAGAGTGCCCTTCGTCACGAGACTCTTGACGGCGAGCTTGACGCGGGAGTTGTTCTTGTCCACGTCGTAGCCGCCGGCAGCCAGGGCTTTCTTGAGGGCGGCGAGAGACACGCCGCTCCTCTCCTTGGACTGCGAAACAGCCTTGACGATAAGCTCGCCGACGCTGGGGCCGGCTTTCTTGGGCCGGGCGGCACTTTTCTTCTTGGGAGCTTTGGCCGGCGCGGCGGCTGGAGCGGGAGCGACTTCTGCCATCGTTCTGCTTTTGCTGCGAGCGGAGCGACAATGAGCTCAGACTGCACTGTTCAGAGGAACCTCCCTCTCAGGCGGGGAGCCGGCCCCTTAAAAGGCACATGAGAACGGGGTAGACTCAACCAGGCGGGCTTTGCGGCCGTGCCTCAGTGACGCGCTCAGATCTGTGTTTTCTCGTGGCATTTATCGGGTAAAATACGAGCGAAAGCGCCGCTCGGCGAGCGTCCAGCGGCTCGCTCCTCTAGAAGAGGCTCTGCTGTGTGTCCTGAGTCCAGGAATGGGCGCGCAGCGACGCCTCGTTTTACAGAGCGCTCTCCAAAGGGCGCCGGGCGGTCGCCGCTCCGAACGAGAGACGGCGTATTTGGCGCGATAATCGGTGGAAAACGCCGGCAAACGGCGGCGTGAACTTTCGGAGAGCTCAACGGCGCGTTCGGGGAGAGCCTCGAGGACGTGGGCGAACTTCCAGCGACCGAGCGCCTCGCTGACCATTAGTAAAACCAGCTCTGCTGGAGCGAGTGAAGCACACGCATGAGGCCGATGCTGTGCCGAATTCCGACTCCCTGGCAGAATCCGACTCCCCCCTCGCGTGCACGCGCTTCACATAATCGTGTGGCCGTTACGGACTGCACTCAGGATTTTTTTAGGTTATTTCTGTGTGTAAACAACACTTTATCTTTAATTTTCCTTCACAGCAAACAACACAACAGGATCTAAAGCCAAACAAAGACTCTCACCGCGATGGTTTAGTTTAATATTACGAAATAAAAACGATTGTTGTTGTTGCTGTGCTTGAGAACTGGTGGGACTGAAAGCCTTTCAGTCATAACGATAAGTATTACGACACATTGAACACAGCTTTAAACCTCTGCCTGGAGCACTAAAGCTCACATCTGATGACCTGACGCTGCAGCATTAGCTGACTTTTTTTTCTTGCCTCAGACAGCAAGCAAGAATCCACCTCCACAGGAGCACCTGCCATTCAAGCCCCTGCAGGCCACACAGTTTCTACAGCTACCACAGCCTCTCCTGTCAGTGTAGCCTGTCTCTCCTGCTCTCTTCTTGTCATCTACCATACAAGCAGCTGCCATCCCAGCAGACGATGTTGGCACACCAGCAGCACAATCTAATATTGACACATATCAATGTATGTTTATAGTTTTACTAAAACAAAATTTCATGTCATTATTATTTTCCTTTTCTTTTGTTCCCTGTTTCATATCATGTAAAAGGAAATATGTGTTCATTTACGTTAATCTTTTTACTTTAAATTTCACAGGTCTGACTGAAGCATGGGAAGGGAAAGACGTGTATGTGCTCTTGAAAAAATAGGGCCATACAAAATTTACTTTGCAGATATACGTCGGACTGCTCCTAATATGCAGATTGAAAGTGAGGTAAGACATCGGTCATAATTGACACCTCAAATTGCAGACTTACTATTCAGGTATTCATTTTGAGATGTACTTTTCAGTAAAACTAGTGAGTTGTTGAATTATTCTGTAGCTGCTATTGCTCTGTGTTGTATTCTTTTATACCAGTATGTCAGTATTGGTGTCTTATAATTGATTTTAGTTTTAGTTATATTTATGGCTAATGAACAATTACAATATATTGTATGTCATTTATTGGTTGCTTCAGATTGTTTTGAAACAACAGTTAAAAATCCATAAAACAAATACGTAGTAAGTTTCCTTTTTGGGAACATAGTTTCTATTTTTAACACTGTTTCAGATTCTCTTTGGCATAATTTTAAGAGGAGAAGGCTGGCACTTCACAATAACAGTGCATCTGCTCACTGTACGTAAGAGTAATAAGCATTACTAAATGGTTAAGTAACGTAGCAATTAATAATTAACAAATGAAAACAAATAAGGACTAACATTTTAGATGTTATAAGTAGTTTATTAATGTGTTAATCAACGTGACTCAAAAAATGTGAAAGTAAGTCCTATGCACTAATGATCAGTTTATGATAATGTCTATGATAATGTGATTATGAAGGCTTAATTAATTCAAGTTTTAGATATCTACCTTATGAACATCATACACACACACACACACACACACACATATATATATATATATATATATATATACATACTAACTCCATCTCCCTACCTTTTTTCCGAGTAAACGACTGCCCACCTGTCCGGCTGAACACTGATGGATGATTGTCTGTCGAGCTCTCCTGCTACCAGCTTCAGACCAGTTGCCCACGCCCCAGTCACCGCCACCTGCCTTGGACCAGCTGCCCACCCTACACTGAAGTGGACTCCTTACTATTACTACTACTACTACTATTAATATTAGTAGTATAATAATTTTGTAGGTAGTTTGACCAGAGGAGGATGGGTCCCCCCATGTGAGCCTTGGTTCCTCCCAAGGTTTCTTCCTCAGCTCTGAGGGAGTTTTTCCTGGCTTGTTCACCTGGAGGATTTACATTTCATGTTAAAACTTTGTCCTTAATGGATTTCTGTGAAGCTGCTTTGTGACAACATCAGTTATAAAAAGCGCTAAACAAATAAATTTGACTTGACATTATTTGTTTTGTGTTTAAATATTGACATAAAAAGCATGAAATTGCAAAATGAAGTGTAATTGTATTTTGTTTACTCAGTTTTATGTTTGAATATTTTACTGTATGTAAGCTACAGCCTCTTGACATTGAACCCCCCAACAAGTCAGACCAAATTTGCACCTCGGTTCTAAGCACTGTCAAGTTTTATTTTAAAATACATGGTTTATTAGTGTCAGAATGTGCAGTGCATAACATTGATTTCCTCAGTGAAAAAAACTTAATTCTCAGTCACAATAAAAACTTCATTATGTTTTTGTTTTACAGTTTGTCAAACGCATCCTGAAAGACAAGCCTATTTCCTTTTCCACAAGTGTCAAGGGTATGGAGGACATAAGAAGGGAAATAGCCATTTTACTCCTTCAAAAAACTGGTAAGGGTACCTCTAGGCCTACGAGTGTAAACTAGTAGAAAGCAGTAATAATTGAAACAAGAATCTGAAACAGTTTAATACTTCTGTTATTCTGAGATTGACTAAACACCCCTATTTATCAACAATGATAACATCTGTGTTTATGTTGTCACATGGCATGATGTTTTATTAGATGACCTGAGTGATTTGTGTTACTTCTGTGGAGAAAGGCAAAATGCCCAAGAAGACACAAACTGGGTAATTACTAATCATAAAACTGTATTGTTTCATTTACAGTAACAGTGTAAATATAGTGTAAATATTGAGCATATTTAAGTAGCTAATTTACATTTTTAGTTTATGTTCTTTTGGATGTTTGTAGTGGGAGATGTTTTATTTGCAATAAGCAGTTGTGCACATTTTTTATGGTGTGTTTTACATACAAACATGTACAGTATAAATAATAAAAGAAGGTTTTCTCTTGAGGTATTTTCTGTTTCTCTGTCCTTCACTCCCTCAAGAACCTAGAATAAAATACATTTCAGGACACAATCTACAGCCCAGGACATGCTAGCGAAATGAAGAAGATGTCATTCAGACCTTGCAGTGCTGAGATCAGAGGGGGAGTATAATTTCGGCAGATGTCAAAAATAATACTGCCAAAATTCTACTCCCCCCAGTAAAATCCCCCCTGTTGAATTTAGAGACATATGCTTTATATGCTGTAATCTATGAACCAGAAGCCATCAGAATAAGTTAATCGTTCCAGTCATAATGCATCCCCAGAGATGAGAGGGGCACGATTTTGATAGGTTCACACCTTCTGACTGTAAACGCTGCTGACTTTTCAACCAAAATGAATCTTAAATTATACCATTACAACAATTATTATTACTACAATTTTTAATTATAGGCAGCTCTTTTATGAAGTAATGGATACTAATTTGTTCATTTGTCCTATGAAAGCAATGAAAGTCTGGTTGCTGAATAATGGCAAGAAAAAAAAAAAGTCAGCTAATGCTGCAGCGTCAGGTCATCAGATGTGAGCTTTAGTGCTCCAGGCAGAGGTTTAAAGCTGTGTTTAATGTGTCGTAATACTTATCATTATGACTGAAAGGCTTTCAGTCCCACCAGTTCTCAAGTACAGCAACAACAATTTTATTTCGTAATATTAAACTAAACCATCGCGGTGAGAGTCTTTGTTTGGCTTTAGATCCTGTTGTGTTGTTTGCTGTGAAGGAAAATTAAAGTGTTGTTTACACACAGAAATAACCTAAAATATCCTGAGTGCAGTCCGTAACGGCCACACGATTATGTGAAGCGCGTGCACGCGAGGGGGAGTCGGATTCTGCCAGGGAGTCGGAATTCGGCACAACACCGGCGGGGCCAGACCCGGCTCTCTGCTGATGTGCTGTTGTACAAAATGTAAATGGACTTTGATTTGACAAGTAGGAAATAACCCCAAGCTCATATGGAAAACATTATTATATTATTATATTTTACCGTATGGCTCTCTGTGTCATGTGCAGCTCTCTCCCTGTGTGTTTGTGTGTGTGTGTGTGTTTGTGTGTGTAAGGGACCCTGCTTGTGAATGCAAAGTGCAGTGGTGTGTGCCAAGTAGGCCTCATCTGGGAGAAGCACACACACAGAGAAGAACCTGTTTGTTCCATCTAAGAACTACACAGTCTTTGAAGGAGAAAAGCACACACGCAGAGAGACTTAGTTACAACCGTACTGAATAACAGTAATACACAAAAAAAATAAAGTTTATCTTTGATTATCTTTGAAAATATATTTTACTTCTTAGTTTGGAAATAATGGAATCATTTTTAATAAGAAAAACTACTGACATTAATAATGATGTGAAAGATAATAAAATATTATCTATGTAAGGTTTGGATATAATGGTGTTCAAAGTAATCATGAAAGTTGGAGATAATGGTGTGTAACTCAAAAGATTTGAAATATTTGGGATGGGCAAGGTGGGGTCATCACCTTACTCTGACCTCAGCAACGGTCAAGGTCTTGCCCTAAATCTACTTTTACTTTAACTAACTTCACCATAACCCTCAGAAAAGGCCTAACTGTACATTTACTATTTCTCTAAATACATGTTAAGCTTGAGGCCTAGCTGTAAGACTAATTTGGCCTGCTCTAACTACAATATGAGCTTAAAGCCTGGTTCTGTACCTGATTTTAATTTTATAGCTTCATCATAAGTCCAACAGAGCACTAAAGATCTCAGTTCAGTTCAGAGTAGTTTATTCATCCCAAAAAGGGCAATTTATTTGCAGCTTTTCCCATCCAAACGCACAACTATACATACATACACCATACTTTAAAAAAAAACAAAAAAAACAAAAAAAAAAACATACTTATGTCAGAGACACCAAATCCACATATATATGTAAATAAATTAATAAATGAGGAGGCTCCATAGCTACTGCTACTCACTGTAAACTACTATCATTTACTCTATCAACACTGTAAGCCTGAGGCTAAGCTCCTAACCTACCTGTGCTCACTGGCACTTCAGTATTAGCCTAAGGCCAACTTTTACTTACTCATTTAATTTTTGTTCATGTCATAAACAACAATAATAAAAAGAAAAAAAGTTTTGCATTTATATTTTTGATGCAGTTTCATAGTTCTTTCCATATGTACCACCATTTTTGTATATATATATATAAATGAATAAGTTCACATTTGTATAACTTATTTTACTACAAGCCTTACTGTTACCTACACAATAGAGTAACTACTGGCAAACTAAGTAATTACGCGGGAAAACTGACGGGAATGCGACAAAACCCTCGTTCATCTTTTCTCTCCACCTCCACAGAAATATTCCGCTTTCCTTCACATTCATAAAACAGAAACAAAGCTCTTTAAGCGGAAACGTGGGTGGCTCTTAAAAGAGCCGTTGGGTTTGATGAAGTTGGCGTCACTTCTTACTTGGAGCTGGTGTACTTGGTGACGGCCTTGGTGCCCTCGGACACGGCGTGCTTGGCCAGCTCACCGGGAAGAAGCAGGCGCACGGCGGTCTGGATCTCCCTGGACGTGATGGTGGAGCGTTTGTTGTAATGAGCCAAACGGGACGACTCACCGGCGATGCGCTCGAAAATATCGTTGACGAACGAGTTCATGATGCCCATCGCCTTGGAGGAAATGCCGGTGTCGGGATGGACCTGCTTCAGCACCTTATACACGTAGATAGCATAACTCTCCTTCCTGGACTTTCTGCGCTTCTTGCCTCCCTTACCAGCCGTCTTGGTCACGGCTTTCTTGGAGCCCTTCTTCGGGGCGGATTTGGCGGGTTCAGGCATAATTTTCTCCTGTTCCAGTAAATCTGTAGAATGAGGAGGAGCGCCCCGCACCGGCTTATCTAGACCCCGATATTCAAATTATAGCTCCGCCCTTCTGAATACAGACAAACGATCATTGGACAACAATCAATCGTTCGATTTGCGGACAACTCCCAGCTCCTCCTCCTCTTCCCCTCCCCCCAGCTGAAGACTTTTCCTTTGTTCACCTTCCCGCGCATTCTTAGCTCCCCTGTGTTGTGCGTGTGTCCTTATCTCACTTATTCCAAACATAGCAAGTTTTCTGTTGCTTTATTATTTCGTATAAACACGCATACGAGTTGTACACTAATCAACTCGTAAAAGTGCAGGAACTAAAATGATGGTACAATTTCACTTTTGGGCGGCCGTAAAGCGAGTTTATATTACACTTAAAAAAAAGCTCTTTTTGTGTATTTTTTTACAAGATTATAATATAAAATATAACGTTTTTATTTGTACTAAAAAACAAAAAGCTCTTCTGGTGGGGGTGTGGGGGGGCTCTTAAAAGAGCCGTTGTGTTTATCGTTGTTCGAGTCGAGCGTTTAACCTCCGAAGCCGTACAGGGTTCGTCCCTGACGCTTCAGGGCGTAAACCACATCCATGGCGGTGACGGTCTTCCTCTTGGCGTGCTCGGTGTAGGTGACAGCGTCCCTGATCACGTTCTCCAGGAACACCTTGAGCACGCCGCGCGTCTCCTCGTAGATCAGACCCGAGATACGCTTGACGCCGCCACGGCGAGCCAGACGGCGGATAGCCGGTTTGGTGATGCCCTGGATATTATCGCGGAGCACTTTGCGGTGACGCTTAGCGCCTCCTTTACCCAGACCCTTACCGCCCTTTCCTCTACCGGACATTCT